AAAAATGGGTGTCTGCGCGGAAAATGCGATGTATCAACAGGGTTCTTGTCGTTTAGTTAAAGTTTTATATCGTTTAATAGCCAATTGAATTGTCTATCAGATGTTTCTTCAGCGACAAGTTTCTATCAAAAACTAAAAAAGTTATGTGACTTTGAAAAGTAAGGTATTTTGCGATTTCGAGCAAATTTAGACGCATGTTTCTCGGAAACGCCACCTACAATTTTTTTAAAACTTTCTCAGTCGAGAGTCTAATGAGTAGTGTATCTTGTGAACACATTGTACAATTTCTCTAATTGTCATGGGTAGCCGAAAACAGAGATCAAAAATCGAAAAAGTCGCATTTTTACGATTTGGAGCATTTTTAGAGGCCTATTTCTCGAAAAGTCAACATAATTCTTTTTTGGAACTTCTTCTACAGAGAGGCCTATCGGTAGGGTTATACATAAAACGATTTTACAACAGTCCCCAATTTCACGAGTAGCAGAACAAAGGGATCGAAAATTGAACACGGCACCTTTCATTGGTTAGCGAAACATAAGTCGGGGATACAATCTGTACGTTTTGTCAACGTATAGAGCCAATTCAAGAGTGCTTTTATCAGTGATGATATTTGAACTAAAATTATTTCAACTATGAGTGTTTTCTTCTATCCAAAATATGTGTTTAGTGACCCTGTAACAGAAATAGTTGATAGCTGTGTGTAATAATTAGTCTTTGAATTAATATTGTTGCTTCTTTGTCAAATTTATCTTATACCGGTAATCATCTGGACAGAAATCGACGGCTAACGCTGTTTATAAGAAAGTCCAATTTGTTAAGCGGTTGCAGTAGTATCGTACAGTAGTATCGAATATTGCACCTATGATAAAAGGCATGACGTTGTTTGGGAAAAAACTCTATCTGTATTAGTGACGTCAAATCTTTAACGTGCACGAAACCAGAAAATTGACGATATTTCATTGATTTATTTTTTTTATTTCAACAATTCGCTTCCGCGTAGGGGTCTTTAGCAGTTGAAGGAAACCGGAGGACCCGGAGAAAACACACGAGTTTAGACATGCTCCTTGTCACGTTCAACTGGGGAATCGAAACCCAGCCAGTTGACTCAATAACAGACCGTATGATACAGTCCCAAAGGCTGTAGCCTACCGTGCAAATTCCAGCCAGCATAATGTATCTATATAAGAAACATTTCTTCCTACTGGCAATTTACAAACAGTCCCCAAGGCTAGCCTACCGTGTAATTTCCAGCCAGCATAATGTATCTATATAAGAGACAATTATTCCTACTGGCGATTTACAAATTTTGCATGAAGAAATTAAATTCATAAGAACAGAAACACGACTAATGCACAGTATCATATTGATTATAAAAGTACAATGTATATATTGGTTACACTATATATGTCACAAAACAACAATCATTAGATAATAATAATTATTTACTAATTATAAAAATCATTTTAAGAGGTAGGAGTTATCCGTTGTTTAATTTAACAGTTATATAATTACTTTTCTCGGGAAAGCCGCCAATGATTTCTTTCAAACTTGCTCAATCGAGATTCTACTGGGTAGTGTATTGTGTGAAACCCTTGTACAATTTTTCTAATTGTCATGGGTAGCCCAAAAAAGAGATCGAAAATTGAAAACAGCGTATTTTTACGAGTTGTAGCATGTTTTAGGGGTCAATATCTGAGTTATGCTAGAGTGTGTTTTTTATTTTTTTTTGGGGGGGGGGGGGCGGGAGTGGTGGGGATAGTCTTTTGTCATATATCTGGCGATCGTGTGACGCCTTTGCGACCGTGAAAGCCTTCAGCATTGCGCGCAATTCTAGTTGTACTTGAATTTCCTATGCTGTCAACCCTAATACGAAATGATATCTTCCGCAGAGTGACGTAACCATCTTCCATATTGGTATTTTTCTCTGGGAAAAGTTTGTGATATTTCAATTTTTCAAGAGAGAACTTGTTTTCATCGTTGTGATAATTAGTTGTGCAATGGATTTTATCGAACGGGAGTTTATTACAAACACACAGGTAAGTTTATAATAACCAAAGTTAAGTAGTTTGTTCATAATCGAAGAAATCCGTTTAAAATTTACCAAGACTGAGACAGTAAGCATAATTTTGATAAATTATGACTCCATTTTACTCCTTTTCAATTCTTTGGATGACGATTACATCACCTTTTGATACGCCCACATGGAAATGTGGTCGCATATTGTCATCGCCCTTGTCCGTAGGTTTGTCCGTCGTCTACAGACATGATTATTTTGAAATTGATATGTTGTTTATTTTAATGAGATGAATCCTATTTAATTTCAATAATTTCCGTTTCTTCTGGAGTTATGGCCCTTGTTTCACTTTGTGAAATTCATTTGCATCTTTTAAATTAGTGAAACGAAGACGTCTGTTAAATTTCTGCGATTTCCATGAATTATGTCTAAGAGTTGTGGCCCTTGTTTCACTTTTTCGAAATTTGTGAACGCGCGAACAACAAAATTATCATCCGATTTGTATGAAATTTGTATGCATTATTTAAATTAGTAAAACACAAAACAAAAAAATCTGTCAAATTTCAACAATTAAGGCCCTTATTTCAGTTTGTAGAACCTTTGTAAACCCACAAACGACGAAAATTATAATCTTGTATGAAATTTTCTTGTAAATGCCCACATTACCTACTAAAGAATGAATACGCGACAATCCCTGTTGACTGCGCAAACGATTAAACTGCTATGGGCATATGTTTCGTTGCCTGACAACCTAACTTACTTGATGTTATACTGGCCACATACTACATCCAATTTTCGAACGGTATTAAACTTTTAAATTAATAAATGCACCCATGATGCTGTTTTCTCAGCAGTTATCAATGCGTCGACCATGTTTGTTCTCCCTCACACCAGCTATGAGGTAGTGTGGGATTTGAGAACGGGAACGTGTTCGTGAACGCATTCCAGACTGCTGAAGTCCGACAAGAACCCATTCTCCGTCCGTTCTCTGCACCGGAACACTGTTTCGAATATTCCCTAGGGGTATTTAGCAATGGGAGGAAACCGGAGGACCCGGAGAAAACCCACAAGGCTGGACAGGCGACCCTATTCCTAGTCACATTCAAGTGGGGAATCACATAATAATGGCCTATTTCAAATAAGATATTTGCATATAAAGAAAGTAGGCCTACAGCCTCTTTTCAAATGTGATATTTGCATATAAAGAAAGTACAAACTTAAATCGTCAGTGCTGGATAAACTAGCCAAAGGATTCGGCTGAATCAATTGGCGCTAAACTTCACCTAGTTTATCCACTGACATACGCCTGAATCAAACATGTTTGATATATTTGGCCGAATTGTATTTGAGTGGTGTGTCCGCTTCGCCGAAGCATTCATCTGATTTTAGAATTCATTAGCCAATCACCACTCATTCATATCGGGTGGGTATCACAAACTAGCAGTCGAACTGTGAAATGAAATGGGGTTTAACGTCCTACTGTTTTGCTCCGAACTGGGCTAATGAAGACAGGCATACACCACACAGTGTGCTATGAGGGAAATTTTACCCGGACAGCGGCACTGTGGTGTATCGAATTCCAACTGTCAAGGGATCTTTTACGTGCACGCCAACGTGTACACGGGATCTCGCTTTTTCGTATCATCCGAAGGACTAGACAGCTGTCCTTGTCAGGCCCTCCGTCCTGCATCACTGACAAGGGGGAACCACGCCGGAAAATCTGGGTGAACTTTCTCGGCCAATGCAGGGATCGAACACCTGACCTCCAGGCTAGCGAGCCAGCGTCTTACCCACTTAGCCACCATGACGACTAGGCAGGGAATCCATGCTGAAAAATCCAAATGAGCTTTCTTGGTCAACACTGGGAGCAAACCTGCAACCTCCCGGGTACCAAGCCAGTGCCTTACACACTAAGCCACATGGCTCTCTTCTAATTACTGTGACAGTCCAGTCACATGACAAACAAGGGTTATTAAAACAGATTTTCACGGCTTGGGTAAGATCTTCGGGATTCAAATGGTTTTAGATATCACACAGTTTGTATATGGTAAGGTATCTTAAACAGTTTATTACATGTCACATATTCATATTTTTCAGTTTCAATATTAGATGCCATAGCAAATCAAAGATCATATAATAGAATAAGTCAAAAAACCCAAATATGGAAAAAGAAAGAGCTGAAGAAATGGTGATTTGAGCACCTATGCTTTCTCATAGGTGTTTTTGGAGGGTGAGTGTTCAATTCTAATAGAAAAGATTGTTGTTATGGTATTTTAGAATCTCACCATAATGTGTTTGGCACAATATAGCCCGGTTGGAGCTGATGTGACATAAACCTCGATTTCATTTTAATATTTTGAATATTAAAATTCAGTTTAGTATAGTAAAACTGTGAACGTACATGTATGTGCACAGACAGAATCTTACTTATGTCCAGATACATGTAGATATGACTATCTCATCTGTGGGGACCCACGGTGACCAAGTTGGTTAGACACTGGTTCGCATATTTTAAGGTCGCGGGTTCGATCCCTGCATTGGCCGAGAAAGTTCACCCAGATTTTCCGGCGTGGTTTCCTCTTGTTAGTGATGCAGAACGGAGGGCCTTACAAGGACAGCTGTCTAGTCGTTCAGATTGAACAAAAAAACGTGGTCCCATGTACACATTGGCGTGCATGTAAAAGATCCCCTGGCAGTTAGAATTTGATACAAGAGTAGGCCTTAGGGTCACGGTACCCGGCAAAATTTCTCTCATAGCACACTGTATGGCATATGCCCAACCTCATTAGCCCAGTCGGAGCTGAACAGTAGGATGCCGAACCCCATTTCATTTTTTTCATTTTGTCTCATCTGTGACAAAGCAAACCAACACATTACCATACAATGTAATTAAATTAAAACTTTCATCTTTTAACTGTCGAGTCAATTTAAGTCAACTAATACATAGTATGTTTTTTTTCTCAGTTAACTACATCAAAAAGATCAAGACAGTTGGAAATGGCTATTCATATTATGGAAACTTTTTCTCACCAGAGCTTGATAATCAGGTAAAATGTAAGTACCATACATATTTGTATTTTTTATCATCAACTAGTTCTATACACTTGCTTGGTAATCTAGTTATTCTTCTTGGGGCAATGCCTAGGACTCTCCTATTCAAGTCGTGGCATTCTTGATTTTTGACAATCACATCCATTGATTTTCTTCAAGTTGTGATAGACCCTATGTGTATTTTTACAGTAAATAGCAGTATAAAAATGATGGACAATATTTTACTTTTCAAATAGATTTTAATAGGTAATATCCAATTTGTTGTCGATGGAAATAAAATATAATAATCTGCCTGGGTCTGTTACTGGACAAGACACAATAAGTGTTACCCAAAGATGAAACAAAATAGAGACTCAGTCTTGATGTGGCAAAATAAATTGTTTATTTAAACATTGTGAACCATAAATAGTAAGAAAGTATTCTTATTGCCTACTTTTAATTTTTTAGGCTGGAAGATTATTTGATGTATGATAACAACAAGAGATCCCAAGCACCAATATATTTTATAATTCTGGAAAAGAATGCATTTGACCCAATTTTTGAATATTTATTTTTTGTTTTTACTGTTAAATATTCTTCCCAAACACAATTAGATTTTAATTCTCTACAGAAATTTATGTATAATATAGAATGTAAAGTGACATATTAATCACTTAGAATTTGGTCGGAAATTATAAAGTATTTAATAGGCATAATCTAGAAACCAAATGTAGATCAAATATACCCAGAATTACAAAAAACCTTGACCTACATTAAGGTGACTTTCCCTTGCTTATGAAATGAAATAGGGTTTAAGATCCTACTTTTCTGTGTTATTATGGTGATTCTGCCCTACAACCTACTCTTATATCAAATATTTCAACTGTCAAGGGTTGTTTAAAGGGAACCCAGGAGGGCCGAATGGTTAACACACGCACATTGGATCAGAAGGTCTGTCATTGAGTCAGATAATTCAATTGTCAAGGGTTCTTTAAAGTAAACGCAGTGGGGGTAGTTTCAATTCCGGGCTTATACCCAATTATCCCTTGCCATGTCCTACACTACTAACGTGTGGGAACTATGTCGGAAAATCCAGTTGAAATTTCTTGGCCAATGCCTTATACTCACTGAACCATAGTGACTCCTCCTTGCTTTTGACTTGTGATTATTTATATATATTTTGTACATATTATTTAATGTTTGCGATTTTCTCTGATATTTTTTTATTTTTCAATCCTGTAATCTTGATGCTTTGCTCCTTTTATGTACAAAATATTCATTTTGTTTGTTGTTTTTTTTTAATGAGGAAAAGGTTCTACATCATTTTATTACTCCTGCAAAATAGTGCATTTTTCTTTTGTTAGTTTTCTGTGTATGCTAGTTTTTTCCAGATGCCTCACAAATCACTTGTAAAATGACTTTGTAGCACTTTTCAGTTTCTGAAAGTATTTCAATTTAGTGCATAATTAATCTAATTAGGTCTTGGTTTGGATGTTATTAAATTTAGATATATTTGAATTATATATTTTTGGGGTATGGGGTAGGGATCTTTCTTTACTCAGTTCTTGTTTTCGGGTAAAGAAAAAATTAAATAGCTATTTTGTATTTTGTGATGTGGTGTGTGTGTGGGGGGGGGGGGCAAAGTATAACAAAAACTTTATTAGTATTAGAATTATATCTCTGTTTTTCTGTTAACATTTCAAATGATGTCTATTTAGTTTTGATTTGGTGGTGTTAATTTACTTTTTCCTATCATTTTATGAATAAATGATAATTTAACAAATAAAATTGTTACCTCATTTATCAAACTTTACAGGTTAAACAGAGCAAAAGGGGTGGGGGCTGCATGGGAAAGATTGCTAAATTGAGGGAAAATAAAACACAAGTTTTTGTTGGTGGTTATACACAAGTTTTCATGAAACCACACAAGTTTCAGAAATTTCAACACAAGTTTCAGAAATTTCAACACAAGTTTCAGAAATTTCAACACAAGTTTCAACACAAGTATTGTGTAGAATTTCACACAAGTTTCAACACAAGTTTGTGTTGTTTGGTAAATTTTAACACAAGTCTTGTGTTGTTTCAACATTTAACACAAGTCTTGTGTTGTTTCAACACAAGTTTGTGTTGTTAAATAGAGACACCTAACTTGTGTTGAAAAAAACACAAGTTTGTGTTGTTTCAACACAAGTTTTTTTTCAGTGTATGGTCCCAAAGTAAACAAAAGACCACTTCCGAACAAAAAATCCCTATGTAACTACCATTTTTAGAAAAAAAACATACAATGTTTAATATTGATTCTCTACTACCGTTGCTCGACCAGTTGGGACACAAGAAACTGATTTCTCAGTGTACTAAAGAAAATCTCAAATCTCAAATGGCACACCCAGCATGTCCTATATTATAGCAGCAAAAGAAACGTCAGGTTGGTATGTTACTCTGAATAGACGCATTGCATAAAACTTGCCAAATGTTTTATTGTATATTTGTGACCACATCTGCAACTTTACCTGATCAATAAGGCTCCTTCCCAAACACAGAATTATTGAACCCAGGGAATGTTCTCATAAACGCAACCTGACTTCTGAGATGGTAATGTGTTCTCCACGATTTTCACGTAACTTTTGCTGCACGTGCTGTTCACCGGGACCAGGCCTATAAAATGCACCCCCGTACCTGGTTGAATCATTCACACTACAACGTCAGCAGCATGCCACGACTCACGACAGCTCAGAGGAACCAGGCGCTTGGAAGACTCGATGCTGGCCACACTGCCCAAGCCGTTGCCAATCACTTCCAGGCCACTATTCGGATCATCTACAGGCTTCAGCCACGCTTCCAGGCCACCAACACCACGGATGATCGCCCACGAACTGGTAGACCAAGGGTTACCACATTAAGGCGACAAGACCGCCATGTTGGGCGACAGCACGTGCAGAATCCCTTCATACAGGCATCTGAGACAGCACGTCAGACAGCGGAAACACACGGGTGACCCATCTGTACCGATACAGTGCGCCGACGTCTCACCAGAGAGAACATCCATTGCCGTAGACCCTACCGTGGACCGATCCTCACCCCTCGCCATCGACGTGAACGTCTACAGTTTGCCCAACATCACTCAGGTATTTTGGGGCAGTGCCATTTAAACATCGAAATGTATAACACAGAATTTTAACTTTGATTCAGTAAATAACAGGAAGAAAATGGAGAATCGGTGTTATGTGACTGTAACGAGGAACAAAAGATATTCTAGCTGCTGTGTTCTGGATCTTTTGGAGTCGCGAAACAAGAGAAGTAGGAGTACCAGCTAGTAAAGTATTCCAGTATCATAGTAGAATCAACATTAAGATACTTCCGGATGCACCCAATATCTAGTAGATTAATCTAGTAGATTGTTGACCTGGTTTCTTTTAAAGAAAAAAAAATTATTATTAAAATCCGTCACCCAGAATTTTCAGTAACCACTTTTAAGCTTAACATTTGGCAATACGCATTAGATGTCCCATTCTTAGCAGCACATGAACACATCAAAGTAAAGGAGGTAGCAGCAATTTCTATTTCCCTATTGCGTTGGTGCTCGTTATGGAGAGACAAACAAGTTATTATTCATACTGATAACATAGTTGCCAAAACAGCCATAAATAAAGGGACATATAGGAATAATACTATAATGCGGATGTTACGAAACATTTTCTGATTGCCTGTTTGCTATAATTGCTGTTTATATAAGATGAATTGAAATACGGTAGCTGATACTTGTTCTCGACTTCATCAGCCTAATATATGTTGAATAAACTTTATAACATTGCTTAATTGTGTACATCAGTTTGACCATGCTTTTTGGGTTGCTTGCCTGGCTTTTGTGGACTATTACGACCCAATAATGTTTTGCCAAAGTCAGCATTTGACCATACTAAGGATTTCCGGAGCATGGATGCTGTTTCACGCACTTGGATTTTTGTAGTTACTATACGCCATACAACAACTGTTCAATACCGCGAGCATAGGGTAATAACGATTCTACCTAGGATAGGTGGACACCCTCTATGCCCTGCATCGGCTTTGGAGTCCTTTCTCACATTAAGCCCGAAATAGTGACCCTCTTGGCCCTCTTCTTGCATTATCAGATGGCCAACCCTTGTTTTATTTGCAAAATTAAATAATTATTGGTTTGCAAAAAAAGAGGGTCATACCATTCGCATGGCCTTGTCACATTTTCTTCACTTACATGGTTTTCCAACAACTGATATTTAAATGCTTGACTATTGGTCTAGTGATTGCTTCAAACGCTACATGGATGACAATCTGTCTCAGCGATTGTTAGTTGCTTACAGATTTGCTGCCTATTTGCCTATTGTTTAAGTTGTTATATTATTTGCACTTTCAACATCACGCCTTATATTCCGGCAGAACTATGGCTGAACCTGGAAATTGTATACAGAGTTTTTTTATGATTGATTTTAGTAGCCTAGAGTGTCCTCTTTCAGAATCTTCCGGGTGAACCTGGGTCACCCTTGAGACTTTCGAGAAATTCAAGATGGCGTCCAGGACGGCCGCCATTTGAAATAATCCACTATGACATCCATGGTATTTAGTCTAGGATGATAATTTTGGTGTCTAAACGTATGTCCCAGGGGTCAAGGAATACACTGAATTCATTCGTTATGGGTGATTAGAAGATAGTAAAATCTAAAATGCCAGACAATATGGCTCTTTAACTCGTTAGCGGCGGCTGAGGGCCATTAATTCACCAAACCAAACTAGAGGCAAACTATATATTTCTGGATAAAAGAGCATATGAGTGATACGATAACACCACATAGATGCCTATCAGGGGCACCAGGGTCACATGGGCCGACCCTAAAAAGGGGAGCACAAGCTGCTTTTAGAACATTTAAAAAACCAAATTCTAGGTTACACGACCTAAAGATTAAACTGAATATTGCCGTGTTTTGTGGGGGTTATTGTCGTGTTTTGTGGGTAGAATTTGGGGTATAAAGGCAAGGAATGGAGAAATATGATGGCTGAAACAATATTGTTATCTTTCATAGTATTGATTCTAACTTCATAAACAAACATATAGAAAGTATATTCTAGTTATTTTTACACGTTAAGTGAGTTATAGATTAATGAATATGTTGGTCATATACATTTTTCTTTGTTATAATACATATATCATATTTGTTGGCCAAATTAGGTAATAATCCCTGTCAATATCCAGATTAGGGTACATGTCCATTCCATTCCATTAGCTGTTATCCGTCACAGACAAAAGGATAGGCACCTATAAATAAGAGGGAGTGAGGGCTAGAATAGTCAGACTCGCATTGGATTCTTTAGAGATCAGACACACATTGAGTTCTTTAGACAACCATTTCAAGATGTAGTGGTTTCTTGAGTCTAGCCACGGTGGTTTGACTTTTACAGGAGTGGGGCTGATAGAAAGAGGTGTTCATTTTAAATATTGTGATGTAGACTATTGTATAACTATTGTGACATAAAAACGTATAGCAAAAACCTATGATTGTTCCTGTTATTTATTTGATTTCTATATCGTAAGAAAACACAATAGTGAAGTCCGTAAGAAGAGACATACAAAAGTAGCCAGTCCAGAGCCAACCAACCCCTAGACGATCAAGGGCTGTTCCAAAATATGTAGTAAGAAACGATGCATGGGTTATACGCCGGATGTGGTGACCGGTTTCCCGTCTGCTGCTCCCCACGTCTAACAAATGACCCATGGTGCTACATATTTGATTTGGTAGCTGTGACAGGATTCGCCCTTCACGGGAATCTACATATTTGATTTGGTTTCCGTGACCAGAATCCACCTTCAAGGGAATCTAGATGAAAACACATTATCTGATTTGGTGGCCTTGCCAAGGAT